CTCATTTTCATTTTTAGATTCATTCCTCTTTCTATTTGAAACAGTATCATCCAAGTAAGAGTTACCACTTCTTATACCAACGTTGGAATGAATGCACACAGGAAGAAAACCCAGCTACCTGCATAACTTAGGATAGCAATTTTCAATAAAAGGGATTTCCTCTTTTCAGCGAAAAGTTCATCCTACTACCCTTAGCCGAAACATTGCTTTTTTTGGAGGATTCATTTGCAGAGCCCTTCCACTTTCGCATTTTTTCTTCCAAATTTGTTGCATAAGGTGATGAAAAAGCAAGAGAAGTTTTCTTTAAACGTTTATCTCTTACGATGCTGTTACACTCACTAATAAAATAGGGTATAGCCCGTTATCATTTATACAATAAATTACAATCTCCATTCATCGTTCCTTTTTCAGTTCTTACTCTTTATTTATGACTACCTCATAGCTCGTCTAGCATCGCGCATAATCTGTAGCATCTCATCTGGCACATTTTAAAAAATCGGAAGAAATTAACATTTTGTCAACAATAGACTAGAAAAATTTTTTTTTCATATAGTACTGAGTATGCACTACCTTGTCTTATTGTTTTTAGTTCCTTATCTTATCTACAGAGTGCAGGTATATGTATTAATAAATGTACTTCTTGATCCTAATATCATTCTTATGTATTTTAGGGCAAGCCATGGTACATGGCACTATTTGCGGAACCACGAGATATGGAAAAAGGATCAATGATTGAGTCGAAAGAATTTGACGAGTTCAAGGAGTTTTACAAGGTTTTTTAATGACATGATTTTATTTCATATTGTCCTTGATTGCCAATCCTGAGACTTTGTAATCATAGAATGTCAAGAAGAATATCATTATTCGACAAGATGGAAACCGCAGTATCAGCTACCTGGATTACTGTGGAATAACCTGCCATGTAAACGACCAAATCTTCAAAACGCATGTATGTTGCAAGTAATTTTGGAATATAAATGAATTTTTGAATTTTTCACAAATTTTTGCAAACATGATTCCGATAAAATCTTGTTCCCATTCAGAGCATTACTACGCAGACGTGAAAATTTTTCTTCTTTTTTTT